GAATATTGGGATCCATTTTACTAGGTTAGTGAAACTTGGAGACTATGGAAATATCAGACGAAAGAGTGATAAAAATCATTCTTTCGACTGATAAAAATCACTCTTTCGTCTGATATTTCCATAGTCTCCAAGTGATAAAAATCACTCTTTCGTCTGATATTTCCATAGTCTCCAAGTTTCACTAATCTAGTAAAATGGATCCAAAGAGTGATTTTTATCACTCTTTCGTCTGATATTTCCATAGTCTCCAAGTTTCACTAACCTAGTAAAATGGATCCCAATATTCCTATGTGCAATCAATTTGTGGAGTCGAACAAATAAGAGTTTTCAGTTTCTGGAATTCATCCAATACCCCTTTCTTGGTTTAGACACTCAATGTAATATTACACTCCAATAATTCGTCATTTTGGGAAAAAGTGATGCAAACCTATGTGGAGTCCGTGGCTAAGAATCTCTTACTGGGCAATATTTCTGGCGATTATTGAGACAGCTGATTTTAAGGTCTTGAAATGTGCTGTGAGCAGATAATAGGTCATTGCGTTATAAATTAATTGCTCCTGTATTTTCATTCGTGGATTTTATTGCATCTTTTTTCGTCTTTACAGCAGGAAATCAATTCACATGTTTTTCGAAAGTCCAATAATGATAAACTCTTACAATAATCAGCTCCATGTCTACACTCTCCAAGATATCTGCTTGTCGGGGATTTTATGGAACGGTCTATTCGTCAGTTCATCTGAAAAACCAAACAGTTATTTTCATATTCTTATTCCTTTGGAAACCCATTTTCCCTCTCCCCTGTGCAATTCACCATTCATCCACTATAGTGTTCATCCAATTCAAATGCCTTGGCGCAATCAACACTTACTATACAATATTCGGATATTTTTACCACTCAGTGACTTTACGTTTCGGAGATTTACCACGCGCCTTGGAATTTGTTTTTGGGATGACTGTACCCAAGCCTCTATCATACCTGAGCGGAACCAATCTGATGGTAGTGCGCCAAGGCTCTGGAGTATGAAATAGCAAATTATTCATTGATGTAGACACAAAAAATGTAGACCTAAAAAAGTTCATTACCAAAATTTTTTAACTTGCTTTCGGTTACGAAATATTCAACAAAAAATGGACTCAAGTGACTCGGCTAATTTCATTACAGAATATTCATCTCTACATGAAATACTTACGCCGCTTTATATAATCGTCAAGAGAGAAATGTTGACTGCAAACTTTCATGTTTTCATCGTAAATTCCTCTCAGTTTCAATGCTTCCATCCACTTGTTCCGTAAAATTAAATCGGATGGAAAACTATGGAAACTTAAATTCAGTTTATCCTTTACTTTGCACTATGGAACACAGCATCCTCTTTTCGAATTCTTGAGATAATTGTTCTGTGCCATTTTCATAAACAATCGGTAGGTTATAAGATCAAAATTTAATTCACGGCTTGTACTTGAAACAATTTGACATTTCAGCACTATTTGAGGTTAGGGCTCTGAGCAGCTCCGCAAGTTAGTAGTTCTCCACGGTCCCGCATTTTTGGCCATAGCGCTGACGCCGGTTTCGCGATCGCGAATTATCGGCATAGGCAGATTCGACCGTGGCACCATCCCTCCGTTGGGATGATACTATTTTTGGCTTGGGGTCGCCTGAACCCCGAGATCTGAACCTCTACTTTAGTCTATCCTCTTTGGTTAATACCACCCGCTCCGCTGGTCAATAGTTGTTGTTCCCTCTTTCTTCAAAATAAAAGCCACCGATATATTTTTCTCCAGTATTTAAGACATTTAACGATATTTTTCAAGTCATTTTTCAATCACCTGGTTAATAGATGAGACACCAACGGTATTTTGCGCATATCTTTTTATTTTATATGCATATGTGAAAAAATCCATGGAGTGGTGAGTCTGATGAGAACAAATCTTCAGAGCGTGGTGGTTTACACAGAGGAAAGATTTCTTGTGAGAAACAAATCAAGAGAAATATCAGGGCGATTTTTTTAGTGGAGATTTGAGGAGGGATAATGTGGACCATCGACACGAGAATCAGATACTCTGGTAAGTATTTTATGAATATATCCATGTTGAATATGGTTTTTGCAATGATACTTCGAGGATTTGAGGAGCTTATTATAAATTCATCGGCAAAAAATAATTTTCTTTTTTTTATAGAGTTCGTAACAATGATTGACGCTGAGTCAATATAAAATGCAAATTTTTTGTATCAATCTTTTATCAAATCGAGTTGATTTAAGTCATTTTTCCGATCATAATAGAATGTGCGGTTTGGTTTTTTCTTCATTTTTTTTTCCATTTTTTCCTCTTGCGATGAAAGACATCGTTTTAAGTCCTGAATAGTCTAAAAAACATGGAATTATTCAGAAGCCATCACTACAAATTTTGCCCTTTTTGCTTGAGGAAAAAGTCAATAATTTTAAACTTCGGTGGTTTGTGGATTAATGTGGCTGAGAAAGATTGGCATCGTTCAAAATGGTCCAGTCCCGTTTTATTTATCCATGCCAACCATGCCCTTCGCCTATTCAGCATGCGCGGTAATTAAACGTCTAATGATATGTAACCTTGAACTGGCCTTCAATGCACAAAACTAGGGCATGTGTCCAGGCTACATTAAAAAAAGACAGCAAGATGTATTTGAGAGGAGAGATATGTATTTTGTAGATTTGTGTTTATTGCTCATTTGTCATTGTAGGAAGTAGTATGAGGCTGTAAATTTCTGAGATGTCTTTGATAAGGTCTTTTGTTTGGACAAAATGGGTTCCATTCTCTCAAACTCCTTCCGGATTCCTCTTTCTGCCATTCCATTAATTTTTTTCTCAAGTAGTTTGCTCCATCGCATTTTTACGATATTTTCAATTTTTCGTTTCTATAGAATTTTTCTGATATATAACAATCTAAGGAGAGACTACTATGAGTTTTAAAAGTCGCGGGCTATTGGAATGAGGTTTCTTATACATTGAAGATCGATTATATATATTTAATAAAAATGAATAGTTAGTGAAAAAAACTAATTGTTTATTGTTTATCCTCCAACCGCTTAAAATGTCACAAACAGTCCAGGGCCTCCAATTTTTGAGCTACAGAGGTTTTTTTTCAAAATTTTTGGAAAAATGCGTGCAATAATAATTACGAATTAGTTTGATTAAATTCAACTCCTACACAGCTAATTTCGTTATTTTTCCTTCCGAATGAAAACTTTGTAGGGGAGGGTGTGTTTGTACCGCTCAGCGGGTAATACCGCCCTGGCGATTGAGGGACTACGTTACGTCTACGCAACAGCGTAGATGTTCCGTAGATGTTCCGTAGATGTGCGTAGATGTCGATTTATGGGCAAAAAACCCAGGGAAAGTGCCAAAATATCTTGTAAATATAATTTGAATATTAATTCATTAACAATTAATGACCGCTGGCACTAATTAATGGCGTATTTCCCCCTAATTAATGATAAATGTTAGGGGTCAGTGAAATGTCACTACAACGATAGGTGGGGGGGATTCTGCGAGATGGCGCCATTGACGACTTCGGTTGAGTCGGTTGAGTCGGGATCCTTGCAGCAGTCGCAGGCCCGCTGCCTGCCGGATCAGTTCATAGGGGGACGGTTATTTTTCATTCAATAGGGGGAGGGTAGTCACCCGTTTTCCGGAATATCCCTCGTGGAAATGAAAATTTTGTTTTTACAGGTAAACATAAATCGATTCAGGGGTGAATTCTAAGTGGATCCGTAACCATAAATTTTGACCGAAATTTTCAACCCCCAACCCCCTTCCCAAGATGGCGGACGGG